ATCGAACTAATGATATTCTCCAGTTGATGATTGAAGATGAATATGTTATGATGCATTAAATTAAGAATTAAATTCGTGCGAAACTGATTGGTCCTTATACTCATTATAATTACACGCTTCTGTTTTATTATACTTATTAAAGTGAAATGATACCGTAGATAGAAAAAAGGGCACTTTCAAAGGGCAACAGTACAATAAACAATGGATATAGTCGTATATTATTTCGGCAGTATTTAAAAATGTCGATTAAACTCGGTCGTTTCAGAGAGAGCGACGATGCTCAGGATTGACAACTTTAGACTGCAATTAAGCATCGCCAATGCAGTGCAACCGTGTATATATTGTGGGATGGTCGAATGACAGACACAAAAAAAACGTACATCGATTTTCTTTAATCATTTTAATTGAATATTTACACGTATACCCAAAACGTACTGAAATAAATTGTAGCAGAAGCAAAAAAAAAAACTCTTTTATAGCTTTTCTGTATCGAACTATAGTTTAATTGAGCACGCAGAGCGAACCACCGTTTATTTGATTGTTGTTGCCATTGGACTGGTAGCACTCGCTTTTTTTTTCTCTCTGTGTTTTCATTCTTCTCACTGTGTGTTAATTGCTCAACTCACTGAACGTTTGAAATTGAAACGACAAATGGAAATAGCAACAGAAGCAGCGACCGCGAAGCGAAAAAACACACACACACACACACAGTCAACTCGACGAGCGTATACACAAAATTTAATTTGTTTCGTGCATGAAATTGGTAGAAATTGTAGTAGCGCACGTAATTTGGGGAGAGAATAATAAGTAAAAATGTGTAAGCATTTATTAATTTAATTGAATTATAAAGGCGATTCTTGAAGTTTGTTTCGCTGATCGATGGTACTTGCTGACTTTTGTTGCTATTGTTTTTTTCTTCGTACATTTGGTTGGCCCGGTGGGCGCTGGTATCGAAGATTTTTTGTTGAAGATTCAACGAATACGACATCTATTAAAATACATAAAGATTTTTGTTACTAAAGAACACACTGACTCTGATTTTGTGTGTCCGTTTGTATTGCAAATTCTGCACTCAGTCGTCAACCGTACCTGCTTGTGCAAAATTTACAACACACACGCATACACAGAATCGGTGTCAGTACTAATACGTTTGCAATACAGCTATATAGTTCGCTAGAGCTGTGTCAAGACAGCAGTAGTAACGAAAATCTTTATTGTCTTTAATAGGTGGCGTATTGTTGAATTTTCAACAAATATTTCCATACAAAAAGTGCTTCACCAGCGCCCACCGGGTTGGCCATCATTCGATTACAAATTCGTTAGATGAACAATGGTAAATAATACATCAAACGGCTGCGCAAAATAGCAGCGGAAATCATGAGAAAATACTGTAAAAGTACCAATTATGGAAAAAATTAATCTAACAAGAAATTATGAGAAAATCCAATTTGAGTTCAAATTACCTGAAGAAGCATAATTGATTTATGATACACTATTCTATTTAAGAAAAGCGAAAGAATTTCCAACGATGGGCAAACCAAAACCAAATACACTTCTTTGATTATATCGATGAAAGTGTGTGACAATCAAGCAATTAAATCAGAAAAAATTGATATATCTATCGACGATTTTTTTTCCATTTCTATACATCAATTATTCAATATATTTCATTCAATATTCATTGTTTGAACTTAATTGTATAAACTTTGTTCTAACAAAACATAAATAGTTTTCATTTTAAATTTAAATATTTTTTTCCACATGAAAATATAAGAGTTTTACACTTTTTACACCTTTCAATGTACACTAAATTATCCAAGGAATAGAAACCAAATTGATTGATTATTCGGAAGAAAAAAGTAGTCGGTTCTTTAAACAGTTGCGGATTATTTTATATTTTCGGTAAACAGTTTTCATTTGAAATAAAATCAGACACTGTTCAGAGCAATGTATGTGAGGAGAAGCGTTCTCAGGAGCCATATGACTGAGCAGCAATTAAAATTAATTATATTAGGATTTTTGATATTTTTTAACTTTTCATATTTTGCTCAGCTTCTTCAACTCATCGGAACGCTTCTCTTGACATAAATTGCTCTAGAGAATATTCGCTGCTTCTGTGATAAATGATAAAAAATTAAAAAAAGATTTTATTTAAGCCAAATTTAATGAAAGTACAACTCTTGTCGCTGGTAAATTCGTTCATCAAATTTTCGAGATCTCCAAAAATCAGAGAAATTTCTAGTTCATTTTTAATTAATTTGGTTCGGTTAAATTATCGAACCCTCAAAAATGGGGCACAATGAGACGGGTAGGTGATTTTTTTGATTTTCTTACATCCTTATTAAGGGATTACGGGAAACCATGTCTAATCGCGGGCACGAATTGAGCACTAATGACATTGATTAGGCACTAAAATTCTAAATAGGTTTGAAAAAATTCTGTTGTAGATATCATCCCTCTGATGACTAAATTTTTACGAAAAAATAATTTGAAATGAAAAAACTTGAAAATTGTCTCCTGTCGATAAAATATGTATTCTATATGTTAGTCAGCGTGTAATAATTATTTAAGCCATTCAAATGAAATTCAACCGAAAGACAAAATCCATTCGTTTTATCTCTGTGGTATACATCACGTTTTTTGTGTTAAAAATACGAAACAAATATGTCTTTTTTTCTTCTTCTCTTCGTTGAAAGCGCGATGTACTATCGTTCTCTAAGATCAAAAGCTGCGATTTTACAACATCATAAAATCGACAAAAGATCATGAAACGATTGCTGTTTTTCGATCGCATCTCAAGAAAAATAGAGACATCTGCACGAAGAAGGTGATCGTGTCAAATGGATTCAGTGCCATGCTGTACACGATAGTCAATTTTGAGCAATTTCATCTGTTCAATCGATTTTTGTTTGAATGCATATCGGTACATTTATTCGATTCGGTCAATGTTATTGAATACACACAACTTTCATGGATTTTTACTTTGTATTTGTTCGGTATTATTTGAATTGCGTACGCGTAAAATCCATACACGAATGATTGCTTCCAATTACCGGAGTTCAATAGTTAGCACGTTTAAACGGCAAAAGTAAAGTAGTGCGTATTTTTAACACGTACGTCTTCAAGACGGTAATCAGGTACGAGACAGAGCCTCACCAATTTATGACGGACAGCAATGAAAAAAAAAAAAAACAAAGCGAGAGAACATTCAAACACGTTGCCGCAAACGACGAGATTCATAAATAAATAATATAATAAAGCAAGAAAAAAGAATCGTTTGACTTCAGTCAATTTAATGTGATTGTTTGACGGTAGAAAGTTGCATTCCTGTGTGAGTTGCATTTTGCTTTTCGTTATGATTTTTCGTTTTGTCTTTTTTACTGTTGTCGTTTTAATATGCGACTTCGGTTGAGTATAAAAATACAATTATGTATACATTTATATTAAGTAAAAAATAAAGTTGTTTCGTTTTAACTTTGTTGTTCGCATTGATGGCCATCGTAGTCGAATGAAGAATGTGCTCATTCGCTTTGGTTGCTTGTGTGCATGCTATTATCATCTTAAATATATTTTTTTTATTTCGGTTTACTGTATAGTATACACCAGTAAGCGACTCATCAACAAAACAACTACTAACCGACCATTTGCGCATTTGTTTCGCTTTGTCGCGGTTGATATTGGTGTGGTTGTTACTTCTTGTTTTCTTTGTGCTGCTTTAGCTGAAAGAATACTTTTGAATTTTAACAATTTAACTAAAATGGAAGAAAAGGGAGAGAACAAATGAATGAGGAACAGAAGGAATGCTGTCATTTCAATCAATGCAGACATAAAAGGGGAATGCAAGCAAAAGGTGAGCATATCAAAGGAATCAGCATTAAACACACTCGGTATAGTTCCTTTTTAGCCATGGAAAACTGCGACATTCAAACATGCGCGTATAAAAATGTACAAACATTGATAATGTAATAAAGTATAAATGGTTAATTTCATAGCTCAAACGAAAATAACAACTATTGAAAATTATCACATCTCCGTGTATAATATAGCTGTATTGTTGTGGCTAAAGCACACTCTGTGCATATATTGGCTGGAAGTCCGGCCCCTCACAAAACAAACCAAAAGAAGAAGAAAAAAATTGCTCAACTCAACGTTATTCAGAATAAGAATATGCTCTGTGGCATAACAAACGAGCTTATTACAGAAATTGTATGGAATGCAAACAGCAACGAAATAGAGTGGATCGATATAAATCGACTTTTTGTGCGAACATTTGATTCAAACTGTATTTGGCATCGTTGAGAATAAAAATAAACCAAAAAAAACCGTTCAATTCTCCATCCACTCTAGTGCAAATAGAGAAGAGAACTCAACCAGAAACAATAATAATACGTTGATAAACTGTCAACAAGCTCACACATTGATACGACGCTGGCCCATACGCACTATCGTCGCACATACGCTTCTACTACACCACCGAGAATATACTAACTGCGTTCGTATTTACGATCTTAATACGAATACGACACAACATCCGATTGTAACGAAAGTTAAGACTTGCAGAGCCTGGTTAATTCAAACATCAAATTGGAATACTCACACACAGACATACGGTGCACATACATGCTCAACGCTTGCGTACGGTATGGTATAAGTGTGTGCATTGTGATTCAATCTCCACCTTTGTTCAGTGCGCAACTTTGTTTATGACGAACCAAAAAAAGTGTTGCATCTCACTCCAACCATCGACATACAATACGTGAAATGATTTTACCGTCGGTATTCATAGTTTGTTCGTTCTTGTTTCATTCGCTGCTTGCTTTGCAGCGAGAATACAATTAAGGGGCGTTGCCAAGTCAATTCAACGCCGTACCCACACAAGCGCAACCATACACTGCACACATTCACACAAATTGTTCAATACGACAACACGAAGATTATGTTTAATAGAGACACAACAAATTTAGTCGTTGAATATGAGTTCTTACTCAACTGTCTGTCAGATTACAGGTGACATTTGACTGTGTCACGTCATACAAAAAAATTCTCTCTCTCTTTTAAGGCGCAACAAACGAAACGGTTTCGCGTTTTTTCGAAATTTTCACATTATTCGAATTGTGTGCATCGACCGAGTGTGTGGTACACGAAAAATCAAGTGCGTTCTAAATTGTATCACATGTGAAGCATAGTGCATGCTAAGACAACAGTGCTTCAATTATAGATTTTTTTTTAAATTAAAATTATCGAGAAAAAAAATAAAATTGAATTTTATTTTGAGGGTTCAACGATCTCCACTTCGTTTGAGATTTTAATCTTGATTTTTCCTTCTTTAGTACTCGACACTGTACTCAGAGGATAAAGTGTATGTGGTTTTATGAGTGAGGTGTCGCATTTTATGTGTGCGTGCGATCAGTGATTTATTTAAAACAATTGAACAAGTGCATGAAAATGGCATTCGAAGATCGGTGTAGTCCACAGAGTGCACCAAGTCCACCGGGTATACCACATTCACCGCAAAAAACAGCGATCGTTTTGGTTACCAACGGCACCGAATCACAGAACATTTATAATAACGGGTATGTGAATTATATTATTTATTTTTTTGCTATTGCTTTTAACAGCACTTTGGCGACAAACATTCCGTTTTATTGGAATTGATTTAGCGGTTTTGCAAATGATGAAGAATTAATGGATTTCATTTATTTCCAATTTGATTGAACATATATAGTTTCACTATCGAACAAGAGATGTCTATGGCGCCGCCGGTAACATCGACACCGCTTACACCAACAACAGCTGAAGCGAATAATACAACTGCTGTTGAATGCAACACACCATCGTTGATTAGTTTAAATATTAAACAAGAGAAACACGATGAAAGAGCAAAATGCAATGAAAAATTATCGCCGCATCAACAACAAACACCAACCACACCAATTGCATTCTCAATCACAAATATTTTGAGCAATAATTTTGGCCACACCAAATTACCAACCACAAATAACAATGAAATCAGTCGAAATAATAACAATAACAAAGTGATTAGTGAAAAGAAAAACAGTGTCCTATTTCGTCCGTATGACGACGATTGCCAAGAAAATGGTGGCGCTACATCACCCAAACGAACCAAACTTGATCGACAAAAACAACAACAATCGGATGACGAAGAGTCCAATGGTAAGTGGTGACTTTCATATGAAATTCTTTTGAATCTTGTTTTTATTTCAATCGAATATTTGCTCGAAAATTTCAAAATGGTCAAATCGCTATTGGAACATTTTATTCCTATAATAGTTGAATCAATAAAATAGAAATGTTAGGAATTTAAAAATAAAAATCAGATGTGAAACAGTGAATTTCAAAGAGAGAATTGAAAAAAAATTCCAATTTATTTAAATTGTGAATTTGCTACCAACTCGATTCCAATTAGAATTTCGAAAATACTTATAATTTTCCCATGGTTTTTCTTTTATTTTTTATAATAAAAAAAAAAGATAATGATGATGAAGAAGAGGAAATCGATGTAACCGATGAACGAGCAAAATTCCATCAAAATATGGCGATCGATTTCAGTAATGCTCTTCCAAGCAGTGATGTGCATCGTCTGGCGCAAAATATATTATTGCCACAACAACAAGTGCACCAACATCATTTACACCACCAACAGCAATTGTTGAGCCATTACCAAGCGGCGGTAGCTGTTGCACAGCAATCACTTCATCGTGCTGGTGCTCATGGTTTTATCGATGGTAGTCCACTTGATCCACATCATCGTTCACCATTGTATCCCGACTTTTACCATCAAACACAACAGCAACATACGTTGGCCAAAAGTCTCTATCCAAAATTACACGAGGATATTTTAAACAGTTCAAAACAATACCAACAATATTATCAAACGCGATTGTTAACGGACAGTGTGCTTGCAAAATATCCACCATTGGGAAATCTATGTAAAACAGTTTCACAAATTGGTCAAAGCCCAAGTACACCATCACCGTCAACATTAAATAATAATATAAAATTAACATCGCCAGCACGTTCTGAGTCATCGCCAACGAAAAAGACAGCGCTAAAGCGACCTTCATCACAATTGGACAATTTACCGAGTACGGGTTCGTCATTGTCGAGCGATTCACAATCAGCAACCGTTTCAACATCATCGTCCGTGTCAAATGAAACAACGACGGCAACAACAAAAAACAATCATCAATCGAACAGCTTGGACTCCGGCATGGAGTCGTCGGATGATACAAAATCCGAAACAGGCAGCACTAAAGACGAAAATGGATCTCAACTTTGGCCAGCATGGATTTATTGCACGCGATACAGTGATAGACCCAGTTCAGGTGAGCATATTTCATCTTCTTTTGTGTATCGAGAGTGTTTTGTTTTAATCGCATGCCCATAAAACTAAACAATATAAGTGTCATAAAAAAAGCAGTAAATATCAATGTCAGATCGCTACTCGATGCATTTTAAAAGAGAAAAAAACTAATGTAATTTGTTAATGGGCCAAAAACGCCCTATCGAAAGCGATATGCTTTGACACTGACGTTGACTGTGCGTTCTGTGCCTAAAAGTAGCAAACAAACAATAGCCAAAATATAGATGAGAACATTAAACCATTCAAACTACAAATAAACTTTGGGTTTTGAGAACAACGAAGCGCAATTTTCATTTTCATCAATTCGTCAATTGTCTGTCGGTGACCCGGTGAGCAACACCGATCATAATATATACACATACACATTTTTAAAAGAAACGTAACAAGCACACACACACACACAACCTGTAAATAAAAGTCTCGATAACAATCGTAATGCACGATTGGTTGCATTTTGGCACAAAGCCGAACACACAACACGACCGAACGAACCTCTATCGAAATATGTCATGCTGTCACAGATTTGTAAGCTCTCAGCATGCACCCGAAATGCACTTGTATGCATACATTTCTATCGATCGTTTTGCCTATGCGCGCATATTCATTGACTTTGGACATACACCGTACGCATATCAAATGCCAAGCACAACCGACCAACTCAAAATGAAAAAAAAAAACATATCCATATATTTATTGTGTACGGCACAACTTTAAATCACTACAAAGAAAATGGAATAATAGACATGTCCTTCGCCATGTGTCTATTCTTTTGTCATCAAGCTCGTTGGCACGAGTAATTTTTAGCACACAAACACATCTCTATAGATGTATATATTTATTACCCAAGTAAAAAAAACCTTTAACTATATTTCATTTTTTCGTTCACCTTCAATATTTCTGTATTTCTGTGATTTCATTGATGATTCAACCGAAATGACACTTTTACATCTTTTGAATTTTCTTTTGCAAAAAGTCGACGAAAAATATCTCCAACATTTATGTTCAAAACAAAAAAAACTAGCATTGATCCAGAGAAAGCACCGAAAGAGTTAATCCAACCGACCAAACATTTGATAAAATATTGTTAGTTTGCTTGGTGCAAAATAAAATCAGTGTCCCGTTATGTCGCTTGTTTCGTTGAACATAGCAGCAAATCCATACATCAAAGTGACTTAAATGAAGCACAAAAAGAATACAAGACGTTCGATTTTTTATATGATTTAGAGTAAATCGTTGTCGGTTGCACTCCTTCCTAATCACACTACAATTTTTTATTGTTTTCTGTTTCTTGAGACAAATGACTTTTCGGTGGTTCTTCATGTTTTCAAATTTGTACTGTATTTGCAGTTGCTCTTTTTTTCGTTTAATTTTCTGTTTGTTTTATTAAATCTTTTGTGAACGGCAGTAACACAATCGTGGCAAGCCAAATGAATGTGTTCTAACAAAAGCAGTCGTTTCACTAAAGAACATGTCGCTGATTAGTGAAAAAAAAAAAACAAATCGAATAAAAGGCCATTTATTTTCGATGAAACACGAACCAACTGTTAAACTCAAACACGATATTTATATACCCTGTACCTATTAAATACAAAATACAACATAAAATATCTTTTAATTTTTCTTATATCGCAGCAATTTTTTTTTGTTTTTTGTTCTCTTTTTACTTAGAATTTAGTTTCACTTTATTTAGAGAGAATATTTTTTTGTCTATTTTGATATAAGTTTGAAAACAATGCATGCAATGTGCCTTTGTTTTCAAATTTTTTATTTTTCGGTGAAAAAAAAATATATGCCAGAAATAGTTTGCCAAAACGAAAAATAAGCCTGAACTCATGGTTGATTTTGGTTGAAATTTGTTTCAAATTGTGCTAAATTTAAATTTGCCTATCACTATATGATAATTTAAAACTTGTGAAAATTTCAATAGAATTGGATGTAAACTGTTATAAATTTGCAACTGAAATAAAAGATCGATTGAAGAAAGTGTAAGAAGCTGAGCGCACTAACCATTAAAAAGCCTGGAATATAAATTTAAGCTGGCAACGATAGAGACAGAGATGCATTTCTATCTGTAGACAATTTGATTTCGGAGAATTCGAATGTGATATGATATGATACTCACCGATACACATAAAGAGAGAGAGAGAGAGAGAGATAGAGAGAGAGAGAGCGAGAGTTTGGGTGCTGAAATATTTTAATCGTAAATCAGTTTGGTGGCGAACGCAACGCTTTTTTTTCTCGTCATGAATGAAATAAAATATCATTGATCGCTGTACGGTGCTGAATTCCAAACGTAAATAAACATGGCCAAAAGATAAAGATCCGCGACGGTTTGAGTGTTAAATGCATTGAAATGAAAATACGTAAGAAGGTGCCAATTGTACATTTGTAAGAGTTTAGAAATAATCCTTTCGTGTGTGTATATATATTTTTGTTCTTTTTTTCGTCGTCGTTCGACACTCGAAATTGGTTTTTTTCTCAAGTGTTTTTTTTTTTTTTTTCAATAAACATAATATACGGAATAAATCTACCGTTTTCGATGGTATCGAATCAGACGGAATCGATCATTTCGTACATGCATATACGCGTGTGTATGTAGCTAATTTCGTGGAACAACTTGCCGAGAGAAAGATAAAACGAAACACTCAACACATATTAAATTTCAACAATTTACAGTTAATGGAAATTTAAACGTTCATGTCATACGTTTTATTTCACTTTTCGAATCGAACATTCTGTGTTCAGTGAACTGTTAACATACTGCACTTAACAATGCTCCCGAATTTTGATCGACTTTTGATGCACTCTTGCTGACACACACTAAAAATAATCGAATAAGAATTGTGTGCATGTCATTTTCGGCGTTTGTGTTTTTCTTTTTGTTCCGAATGGGTTTCAAAAAGTCGAAAAACAGTGAAATCGTCGAACATTTGAATCCAGAGCGCCACACATTTTAATTAATAATATCGTTCGACAGTGTGTTGATAAAATGAGTATTGAAAATGTGCAAAGTGCGTGTGTAATGTACGTGGTGTACATGGATATTATTTATCTAGAAATTAAATCGCAGCATTGACAGATTTATTGATACGTTTCATCAGTTGCGCATTACCTCGGCTTTACCACATTCTTGGGGCGCGCGTAACGTGTGCGGATGTACACTGTTTGTGTAACAAAGAGCCGACGATGTTCATGTGATGCTGTTCGATATGTTTGCGCGCAAACGTATCAAATGGTATACAACGAATGGAATTCAAAACCTAAGAATAACCCTGAAATTGATCTATTTTCTTTTATTTTTCGTTATATTTCTTTCTCTCAAATTGATGATTCGAAAAATCGATAAATCTATAATTCTTGTATTTTTTTTTTCGTAAAAGAAAATAGTACACATACACACACAATTGCCAAGCTCAATTGGTTGATTTTGAAAATGTGAACAGAAAGGCACACCGAATTACCAGAATCAATTGTAATTTAATGGGTTTTGATGAAATTTAATCACCAACTGACTACCAATTCGCCCAATGTTTATTGTAATTTAATGACAGAACAGTGAAAACATACATTTTTTCCGTCTTTTTCACACCGCTTTTTCATTTCATTCGTTCCCATTTCGGGCTGCACAAATATACTTTTGCAAACGATCTCCGTACCGTGAATTATAACGAAAAATCAATTGAACCAGAGCTCAATTATAAGTGCGAACAGACAATTATCTCAACCGAGTAATATAATATTTATGTGCAGCACTCTTTTTTTTACACACTTCACCACACATTCGCGAAGGCATCGTGGATGCTTTCTTTTTGATTCACACATACTCAAATACACCGAGTCTAGAGAGCAAGATGGATAAATGCAAATCGGGCTAATAAGAAAGATCACTTAAAAACCCAGTAATATCGATAACCGTAACTGCAAGGCAATGTTTTCTAGTTATTATGGTAGCCCAGCAGCGGTGTTCTGGGTGATTACTTGGGTGTGTGTGTGTGCGAATTGGCTGGCGCATAAACAAGCGAACAAGGTTGATCTGGAAGATAAATAGCCCAAGCAAGAGAAATCATATTCAAAGTGAGGTAATGTAATAAACACTCGGAAAAGGAATAGTGGTGATTTGGTGTGCGCGTATTATTACGATTGACATGATGCAATGCTGATATGTGTCCATTTCTGGTTGCCATGTCGTCACATTGCGAATAAGCTCATCCGTACAGAGAGTATTGCATACGGCCATTCACGTTCTGTGCAAAGTGTAATTGTCTCAATTTTCCATGAGGCAGAGTTAGAGCGACGGTGTATAAGTTGCTACCTTGCCATGCTATTTCATTTAAATTCGCGTCACTTCCGTTGTTGGCATAATTTTTACGTACCTAGGCTATCGTTCCCGCTATATTTACTAGAACATCGATTTTAATTTTAAGCGAATGAACGCCTTTTTTCGATATATTTTTTTTTCTTCTTCAAATGTTCAAGTCTTTTACTTTGGTGTTCTTGATGTTGAAACGAATCTTTGGTGTGTGCGTTTTTTTTCGAGATGGTTTCAAGTAACACTCGACGGCTTCGGATTTCCATTTGATTGGATTTTCAATTTAACGCATTTCGTTGTGTTAAATTGTATTTTTGGAATCATTGAATCAATCAAAATAAAATAGGAAAAAAAGTACAGAGGCGCCGTTACACAGGGGCCGTTTTCGAACTTTGGTAAGAAGATGAAGAAAAAAAAATACACAGGCACCCAAACCAATCAAATCATTTGAAACTCGTAAATCATTTACTGTTCAATAGAGAAATTTTTCCACTTTGTGCGTTACCACTCTTCTTTCCCCTCAATTAATCGATTGGCGAATGCTGATTTTGGTCGGTTTTTTTTTCTTCCTTTGGTCGATGATTTGGGAAATCGCTGCACAATTAATAAACAAAAACAACACCCAAACTAAACATGTACTCAAAAGGTCCAAA